AAGTTTGGAGGTTCGAGTCTACCCAAGGCACCTCAGAAGAAAGGCCTGGCAATCTACTTCAGAAAAATCAGCAATTGAAACCATCCATGGATCACAGTTCTACTCTTGACACATGTAAGTTCGCCATGACTTGAAGTTGACTCGACAGAAACTGGTTTTGTAGTGGTATTTTAATTAATAAGAAGATAGTGGTAGTGGGTGCTCACAAATGGCACCCAGCTTGGATGGATGGATACATAGATAGATAAGAAGCATTATGCAATAAAGGTTGAATGAAAAATTGTTACATTTGTGGGTGGGGGAATCTCCATGCCTGACGCCAAAAGCTAACAAACTCCATCTGGACTGAAAAGTTAAATGTAAAAATGGAAACCATAAAAGTATAAGCAAATATTTATATGATCTTTATGTGAAATAGAAACTTCTTGAATAAAATACTCTCTTGAACTTAAAATATGTGGCAGTCAAAAACAAGCAGGTAAAGAAATATAAGCCAAATGATAAACTGGACATATGAGAAAAGATTAATATTCTTAACACTTGAAGAACACTTATAATTCAATAAAAAAGAATCAAACAAGTATCTATCAAGCTCCTACTATATGCCAGGCACAGCTGTAGGCACTGGAAACAGAGTGTCTTCATGAGTTTTCCTGCTGCTCTGGGAGACAGACAGCAAATAAGGAAACAACAACTCTGTGCGTGTGTGTGTAATTTAATGCTAGGTTATAATAAATGTCACTACGAGTCAGAATGACTTGATGCCAATGGGTTTGGTTTGTTTTTTACTGGTTTTAGATAACCAATATTTCAGTTGCCCATTGTTACTCTGGATAAAAGCATGTTCTGAGGTCTGAAGAAATACAACTTAGCAGTCCCAAATTGATACAGAGTCTTCTGTTCCAGTTCTTTTATAGCATTCAGATCATCTGAATCTACCACTGGTTAAGCAAAGCCCAGTCCAGGTAAATGTAGTCTTCCAGGGCTACTAGCATCAGTCTGACTTGCCAGCTATGTGCAGGGCCTTCCACTAACGGGGAATGTGCCCCATAACCATCTCCAGACTCTCTCTTGGCAGACAGGACAGTTCATTTTGGCATTTTGTGCTTCATAAGGTACAAGAGGAATATGTCTAGGTTCAGCCCATCTCTGCATGGCTGCATCTCCCCCATTTCCATTCTTCTCATGGAGGACCTAGTTGGTCATCTCAAGCCATCATACTCTCTGGCTCCAATTAATGTCCTGTGCTGGAAAGAGGTTCTTCTGGTGGGCAGGGACATTAATGGGTCCTACTTAGATGCACCCTTCAGATTTCCATAGGGCTGTGCCCCACACAGGAATCTCTTTACTGGGTCAGGTTTGCATTGCCCTTTTACCTGTCCCTATAGCCCAGCTGTTGGCCACTGCCCATGAGGCAGTAAAAACTCAAACATGGGGGCAAACCGCATGCAATTCAGTTCATCAAGCTGAATTGTTTTTGCCTTCTTTACTCAGAGTCTTTCCATTTGCTGGTAATTGTCTCTCAAAGGAAAATCTCCTGGTCCAAAATCACAGCAATCATGGCTGGGTGGTGCTCACAGGGTTTTGGCGTAAGTCCCAGTCTTTTATAACAACCTGTGTGGGCAATCTTACTAGTTCCCACTTAGCATACCCAATTAGTATTAACTGAAGGGCGGGCCTACATTCCTTTTGCTTCACAAAATGTTCCCCATTTAAACACAATATCCATAATACATTCAGATAAAGGAAACACAACCACTTTACATAAAGCCTGTTTAAATATTACATTTTTCATCCAAGGTACTCCCCCCCTACTCACACAGTTTTACTCATTTATATGCATATGGCCTTGGATCCTTGTATGAGGGTCAAACCAGGAAGATTGTGGCCCTTTGTAAATCATCTTGATTAACCTTTGGGGCCTTTGCCCCAAACAATTCTAGGTGGGACTTTTCACAGTAATCTTCTCTTACTAGCCTTCTAAAGATTTCCACTCTCCAAGATGAGTCCCTTGACTCTCCCCTCTGTCTTCTCTCACTGTTTTCTTGGAACAGGTCTAGCTCTCACTATCTATAGTCTCAGCAGGTTTCCTTTAGAAATGGCTCTGAGGCTGTTAGCAGTACCTCAGGTTTACCAGAGTCTAAACTTAACTCATCTATTACTTTCATTTTAGATATTACCAATAACAATAAAAAAAAAAAGAAGCCCCGTTGCCACTGAGTCGATTCTGAATCATAGCGACCTTATAGGATAGAGTGAAACTGCCCCATAGGGTTTCCAAGGAGTGGCTGGTGGTTTCAAACTGCTGACCTTTTGGTTAGCAGCCATAGCTCACCATGCCTCTTAACCACTGCACCACCAGGGCTCCAAATAACAACTAAGGTATCATATATTTTGCTTTATCCTTGTTATTTTCTATTTCCTTGTGCATTCAGTGAGTCAACTCCTCGGGCATTAGAGCCACCACTTCTAAGCTCCACTGAAAACTTTTGCCTTAATCACATATCAAAGTGCAACTGAATTCTGCAAAAGTTTCTTGGCCCCCATCTGTTCATCTTTTGCTTCAAAAACCCCATGTCTCTTTGAACCACAGTAATTGCAGTGAATCCCATCTTCATTAACCATTGTCCCTGGATAGTGCTTGGCTGGTGACCAAGAGATTGGTGGTTCAAACTCACCCAGTGGCGTCACAGAAGGCCTGCTATCTGCTTCTACAAAGATTATAGCCAACAATACCCCATGGAGCAGTAATACTCTGTAACACATAGGTCATCATGAGTCAGAGTCAACTCAAAGGCATAAAAGAACAAGGGGCAAATCCTACCTTTGCAGTCAATTGTGTGGTGAGATCAGCATAAACTCAATCCCCAAAATATGGAGATAGGTCCAGTCCTCACTTTCCTATTTCTCTATCCTTGTCACCAGCTGCCCACATGGCACTCTCTCTCTGACCCTAGGCACCCGGAGCTAGGTAGAGCTCGCAAGTTAAAAGGGTACCATTTTTCAGATTAGCTGCCCATGCGTCACTTCCCTGACCCACCTGGAGCTGAATTAACCCTTTAATTTAAGAGGACACCTTCCTTGGGTTCAATAATTTGCTGGAAAAACTCAAAGAATTTCACAAAGAGTATAGCATACTTAAAACTATAAATTTCTTACAGCAAAAAGGTTACACATGAAGAGACACATACGGCAAGGTCTTGGAGGGTTCCTGACCTGGAGCTTTCATGTCCTAAGGGATGTACACCCTCCTGAGAGCAATTGATCTCAGAGTTCTTATCAGCCTTCCCACATGGCCATGACAGATTACATCATGGCTCCTGAGGCCAGAGAATATTGGGCCACCACATGGTTCCTCTTGATCTGGTCAGCCCCACTCATTAGCCTCAGGTCTGGTATGGCTGAAGAACTGAGAACAAAGACCAAATTGCTTTCTATCAGGTGATTCCATACCTTGCAGGAATTTTCTTTGTCTGCTCTGTACACTGTCTCCAATCTGTGGAGAAATGAATTTTCACCCTCTCTTCCATGTTAGGAACAGATCAAGACTCGGGTAGAATAGAGGGATTATCACACAGCTCGACCTGTGGTTAGTTCTGGGTCCTGATGTGAATGACTGTTAGCAGCCACTTGACATTGCTTAGCCTCTGTTTTCTCATCTACAAAATGAGGATGTTTGGTGAGGATTTATGGGATAATGCTTTTAATACAGGCTCTTAATACAGGGAGGTACTATTACTACCCAACTAATGAAATGACTGGAACATAGTAATATTTTTAATTATTCTCCCATCACAAATTCTACTTTTAAAGTCAAGAACATATTTCCCCACAAGGAAGTCAGGACCCACTTCTTCTCAAAAGTCATTGAAGGCTTGGGAGAACCTGTGTGTGCTCAAACACCCGACTCTCCTGATTGTTCCTCCTCTGTCCCACCTCCTGTATGAAAATGATCATCTCTGAACATGGAAAAGAGTACTTCAGTGAGGACATACAAAGAATTCACTACTGAGACACAGTGGACTCCTGGTGCTTGCCTTCTGAAGAACAACGTCTCCTATGTCTCCACCGTCCTGTGCACCTACCAATCTTTTGGCACCACAGAACAGGTCTTTGACCTACTATTCAAACAGTAAGTGCCTGCCCCTTCCACAGCACAGTAGCGACTCTGCCACCTACCAGCTGTGTGTCTTGGGAATGTCATTTCACCTGTCTGAATCTTCATTTGTTCCTCTGAAAAGTGGTTAAGTCAGAACTCAATGGGATAGGCCATGGTGATTGCTTACTCAGTGCCTCACTCTGTAGAAGCGACTATTGCAGGGGCTGTGGTTGTTCATATTTATTATGTTCCTCTCCTCCAGGAGGAAGATCACCACCTCACCCCTCACTGACCCCATGGCTTTGCCAAACACTTTTTTCCCATTTATAAAGGAGATTTCAAATCCCAGACTGGGGACCCTGCCACCAGAGCAGAGATTTCTGAGAGCTAGCAGAAAGGTGGCCGACACACTCAGATACATGGAAAGGTGCTAACAGCAGCTTATTCATTCCTTTAATGTACATTAAGCAGTACCATGGGCAGGAATTTTCTAGGCTCTTAGCATTATTCCATGAATAAAGCAGACACAGATCCCTGCCCTTCAGGGCTTTCAATCTAGCTGGGGATCAGACAGTAACAGACTTCATAAGCAGGTTGTGTGCACAGGATATTAGCTGTGACACCTTGACAGCCTCCTCTAGGTACTGATACATCCTTCCTGATTCTGATGGCAACGGCATGCTCCAGGACCAGCTAAAACAGTGTGTGGCCTTTGGGTCGAGAAAGTGGGTCTCCTGTTTCCATAGACCATGAGAAGGGAGGGAGCAGCTGAGATTGGCGAGGAGCTTGGCAGAGCCCAAGGTCCTAACATCTTATGATACCCACTAGAGGGCTGAGGTCTGGGGACATGCCCTGCAGGAGGAAAGAATTCAGAGAGATGAGGGTGGGCACTCTGGGTAGTATGGGGGCTCAGTGCAAACTCCTGAGAAAACCCATCCCCACCATCACCCCATCCCAGGTCAGCTTCCCACCCCCACCACCACACTACCACCTGGGGGCCCAGAATAGGAGGTGCAGTGAGCAACCTGCTCCCAAATCTGACTCAGACCTCAGGGCTGTGTGCCCAGCTGCACATGGGCCTGAGGCAGGCTGTGCCTGTGGCCTTTGGGAGTACAGTGTCAGTGCGAGATGGGACCACTGTGCTCCCATAGCATAACACACAGAGAATAAGGCATCACATAGTCTCACAAGCCACAAACCGAGCTGCCAAGAGTGTCCTGAGAAGGCAGGGGCAGTAGGAGAGATTCCTTGTTTAGAAATTTATGGAGAACGTATTGTGCACCAGCACAAGGAAATTAACAGAACATCAACCCCCTCTCCCTCCTGGAGCTTACCATCTAGAGGGGAGGGGGCAAGTGGAGTCATCCACAGAATATGTCAGGCTTCCCTGAAGAAGGGGAGACCATGGATCCAGAGCTCCCTATGATGGAGGCTCTTTGCCAGCACCTTGCTAGAGAAACAGGCCTGCCACTGCCAGGACAGCAATGGGGTGGTGCTGGCATTTGGACAAGTAGAGGCAGGTACGGGATCCCACTTCCCACATGGGTGCTGTCGGAAGGCAACATGGAAGGAAAGGCCAGGCCTCTGACTCTTTTGTCCACTGAGCTTTCCCCAGTGCCATCCTCTCCATTCTGGGCTTCTGGATGGACAAGTACACTGAGGACTTACGTCAGGCGGCAGACTTTTCCAGCCTCAAGCTGCTCATGGACTACGCTCAGCTAAACATGCCTAGCTCAGACCTGGAGCACCGTGTCTGTCTTCTGCTTGCCCAGTGCAGCAGGCAGAGGGAGAGGGTGAGAAGGCTTGAAGGTAGGTGTAGATGAGAATGTGAGGAGGAAGAATGGCTGGGTACACAGGGAGAAACCCTTGTAGGTTACAGTTGGGCCAGGAGCAAAGACTAGCCTCAGAACTTTCACCTTGTGGACAGCAGTTTAGGAAGGCTTCCTTGAAGAGGGGTTCTTGAGCTGGGGCTGCTCACAAAGGTAGTGGCATTTTTTCTGCACTTGGAAAAGCATATGCAAAGCCAGATATGTTGGTGAAACTTTTTCTCTTTCCAGCTCCAGAACTATTTCTTGAGATACACTCAGCTCAAGCACCAGCTCTAGTGCCACATCTAAAGCTAAAGGCAGTTCCTGGCCCAGCTCCACTGCTAGCTCCAGTGCTAGTTCTACTGACATCTTCAGAGCTAGAGCCAGATGCAGTGCCAGATTTACCAGAGCTATAAACACCAGTGCCATCTCCAGAACTAATGCCAGCACCATAACCACTTGTAGCAACAAGTTTAGAGCTAGAGTCAGCTCCAGAGTTAACTCCAACAATAACATCAGAGCCAACACTAACTCAAGTACCATCTCTATCAGCACCACCTAAGCTAGAGCCAGCTCTAGTGGCAGCACCAGTGTCAGGTTACAGACCACTCCAGAGACAGCTGCAACACCAGCTGCAGAGGAAGCACCCACTCCAGCACCAGCTCTAACACCAGCTACCAAGCTAGAGCCAGATCCAGCACTAGCCCCAGAGCTAGAGCCAGTGCCAGCTACTACACCACGACCTTCCTGTCCTTCATTTGTGACCACAGAGAATGGGCTGAGTGAAGAGAAGCTGAACCTCTTGGCATTTCTTCCCAAGCAGTGGCAGAGCAGTTAACACTGTTGGATGCAGAGAGAAGCCAGGTGCAGCAGGCGGAGTCTGGGGCAGACTTTCCTTTAGTCATGTGCTGTCCTAGACTTGCCATTCCCTGATCCGGAGTCCAATGACCTGGGTCTAAATCCAACTCCATCACTTAGAACCATGTAACACGGGCACATTTCTTAATCCTCAAGGCATCAGTGTTCACATCAGGACAGTAGAGATAGGACACTAACCATCCCTGTCACACAGAATGACAGCCTGGACTCCATCTGGTCCCAGCAGAACAAGAAGGGCAATGTTACTGAGTTCAACAGTGTGGTCTACTCTGTCATCACCACCTTCCTGGGGGACTGGAGCATGAAGGCTCTGGACTGGGTAGGGGTGGTGGAGCAGTGGATTGAGTGGCCATGTTAGGCTTTGGGAGAGGCCCAGGAGACCTACTCTTCCCAGTCCTGGGAACTCTCTCGTCTCTCTGGTTATCTCTCAGGATTGTGATCTGTGTTCGAAGCCTTTACACAGACCCTAGTCCCATCCTGTGCAGTGGCACATTGACATTGACATGCATGTCCCGGTGGTGGGACATTCATTTCTACCTAGATTACTTCTTCAGGGTAAGCTGAAATTTTCCTGCTTGTGAGAGTTACACCTTCAAAAAAGGTGTGCCCTACAGGGCATCCGTGGACATCTGTCTCATTCAGTAGGGGAGATGTCAGCTGAGATAGATGGAGACTGCAGCAAGTAAAGGTCCAGCCCCCCCACGCCCACCTCACAGCTCACACTTTTCCCTTCCCCAGGAGTTCCTGAACCTCAGGAGCTTCTCCTTACTGCATATCATCCTATTTGCTCTGCAGAGCATCTCAATCCAGTGACTGAAACAGACATGGGAAGAAGTGTCCATGTGGGCAGGCCTCTCCAGTAGGAGCACCAGGGTGAACCTGGAACTTCTCACAGGGCTTTAGATTTCCCCCTCAGTGATCCTGGCACCTGCTGGGAGACAGCAGTCCTAACAGCAGGAACTAGACCGCTGGATAGGGTCTCCATGTGTCCTCAGGCCAGCATCTCTGCCTCAGGACTCGGTTTCCTGGTCTGTTAGACACAAGGTTGAGCCAAATTGTAGATTTTCCAGTGTTCACTTCACAGCCACACACTTCTTTGTCCTATTGAAATCAAAACAGGAAAAATCTAACTGCTCTTTAGAAATGGGATGCAGAGTCCTGGTTGTACGTACCTAAGACCTCATCTCCCCAGTCTTAGGGAGCCCCTGAGGGCTCAGACTAACCAAGTTTGAAAACCACTCATCCAGGCAGTCTGCATCCTTTGCGCTCTCAAATAAAATGGATTTTCACTCACATCCCTCCCCACCATCCTCAACTTTCTTCCTTATTTTCCCCTCCCCACAGGCACAGCATGCAAACATTTCATGAACTGTGTAACGGGGACTCACTGAGCAGGAACTAGCTCATCATGGTATACTAGAGGTCAGGGAATGGGCCAGGCAGGATGGGTGTGGTTTTGTTCATTTCTCACTGAATGTTTTTTGAAAAATTCCTGTCATGTCTTGACTGCATTAAAGGAAGAGGGATCTGTTTTGACCATGGGCAGGTGTGGTGCAGTGTTAGGAGCAGGAGGCCCCTGGCTGAAGTTGTGTTAGCTGGGCACTTGCAGGAGGGGTTGATGAGCTGAGAGAATGAGCAGGTATCTGGCTTCCAAGCTGGCCAGTCCTGCTTGGTCTCGGCTCCTCCAGGCTGTAGGGTAGATGGGGAGATGGGGGGTAGGGGGCCGGTCATTCCTTCCCATTCACATCACAGCCTGTCTTCAACAAGCCAGCCACGCTGCTACTTTTGTATGCATTGCATGCCCAAGAGTAGGGCATCCTGCTGTATGAGGGATGGGTACTGTAGGGGAGTCCTGTGTGCCATGTAACCAAGGGCTGCCCAGCCTTGGGTCCAAATGGCTTGACCCAGCAGGTAGATGTGATGCTGTCTGTGACTCCCCACCTTGCTTCTACAGCAGACAAGCACATCAATCACAGCCTCACAATTCTCATCACGGGGTCTCCTTAGCAATGACATATGTCCAGATGGCTTATGGAAGTGCCTGGGAACTAATGAGTTCAAACTGTACCTGAGAAGCTTCCATGTGAAAGTGGAAGCAAAGTGTCACCTCCCATTGCTACTGGCCACACCTACCTGTTAAGTTAGAGATGACACCTTGGGAAATCTATTTCTGAGTGGATGGAGATAGGAGGTGGAGCCTTTGACATTGCCCTGGGGGCAGAGATGTCAGTGCAGCTAGAGAAGGCAGGAGCCTCTCCACCAGGCCTTCTAGATACCCTATCCCTCTCTCTCCAGTGCTCAGCTCAGCTGGGGACCTAGTTTCACACCAAGACTGCAGGATGATAGTCATCTGATCTAGGTTGAGGGGGTCGCGGGGTGAAGGCTAACCCAGGGCTTCCTGCTGGGAGAGAGGAGCTGGTGTGTCTCTGACTCCCTGTGAGGCCCTGACACATAGCTGCCCCTCTTAAACTTCTCTTTCCTCATCTGAACAATGGAGGGATGAGAATCCTGTAATGCCAACCTCTCTGAGCCATGATGAGGATCAGGGAGAAAAGGTATGTACTCAAGGTTTGAGCAGGGCTCTGCAGCAGAAAGGGTGAGGTGAGAACAACAATAATAGACATATAGCACTGAGTTCTTAGGAGGTTCTGTGGGGTAGGTGTGCACTTTCCAGATGAGGAAACAGGCCCAGTGAGGCCAGGCTGCTTACTCAATGTCACACCCCAGTGAGTGTTGGACCTGGGATTTGCATCTAAAATCAGAGGATGCTAGAGGTGGCAGTAATGTCTATATCAGCTGACTCGGGCCTGTTTTCCAAGTCCCAAATCTTGGTGCAGTAGTGGTAAAGGGGTGAGGAGAGGATGCCCTCATTGACCTCATCCTCAACCCGGGCAGTAGGGGATCTCGAAGTTTTTTTTTTTTTTTTTTTAATTCAATTTAATTTTTTTAAAATTGTACTGGAGATGAAGGTTTATAGAACAAATAGTTTCTCATTAAACAGTACATACATTGTTTTATGACATTGGTTAACAACACCACAACATGTCAACACTGTCCCTTCTCCACCTTGGGTTCCCTATTACCAGCTTTCCTGTCCCCTCCTGCGTCCTAGTCGTTGTCCCTGGGATTTGTGCCCCATTACTCTCATTTTGTTTTATGGGATTGTCTAATCTATGGCTGAAGGGTGAACATCGGGAGTGACTTCATTACTGAGCTAAAAGTGTGCTTGGGGGCCATACTCGGGATTTCTCCAGTCTCTGTCAGGCCAGTAAGTCTGGTTTTGTTTTTGTTTTTTTTCTGTGTGAGTTAGAATTTTGGTCTACATTTTTCTCCAGCTCTGTCCTGGACCCTCTATTGTGATCCCTGTCAGAGCAGTCGTGGTGGTAGCCGGGCACCATCTAGTTGTACTGGGCTCAGTCTGGAGGAGGCCGTAGTAGTCGTGGGGACCTCCAAGTTTACCAGCTTGGAGATGAACCCCATGAAAGCCCAGAAGGGGCAGCAACAGAAGGAGACACTGAGTGAGTCAAGGCAAGGGAAGAGGCTGGGAGGGGCTGGCTCCAAGTCAGGAGAGGACGACCCCTTCCTCCTAAGGCCCTTCCCTCCTGGGTCCTCAGTGTTTGAAATGTCTACACTGGACACGTTATCCTGTGGGTCCTATAACAGCTATGCCTGAACCTGCTAGTATCTCGGGGGCTAGTTGAAGCTGCCAGGGCAAGGGCTTGGAAGAGCCAGGCTCAGGGTAGAGTTGGAGCACTGAGAGACCAGGAACCACATAGCCTTTGGATTTGCCCCACGCTGACCCTGCAAGGTGAATAGAGAGTTTGGGTCCATGGACACAAGGAGGGGATCACAGAAGGTGGTGGCTAAGGGTCCCAGGATGCTCTAAGTGTGGGCCTCCCCTGTGGGGCTAGTGGTCTAAGGTTGAGGAGTTTCAGGAGAGGGGCCTTTTGTGGGCAATGGTGGGTATGTGTCATCATCACAACCACCTCAGTGTTACAGAGTACCATTCCTTACCTGTGAGTGTTCCTCACTGACCTCATGAAGCTTGACACTGATCTGGAGGATTATTTGGATGAGCCAGCCTGTGGTAGGGTCAGGGCAAGACACTCATCTCATGAGCTCCTCACTGCATTCCTTGTGAGCTGGAGGTGGCTCCCCATCGTACCTTCAAGTAAATAGAGGCTGAGCATAAGCCACCTGTCACAGTGCCCCAAGCTGATGAAGCAGAAGAGTTGCCTGGCTGCAAACTACATAAAATTTTGGCTGAGTTGGACACAGTGTCTCCCTCAGGGGATGGTTTGGGGGATGGGGACAAGTGAATTTGGCCCCACCAAGGTCAGGCAGTCCCTGAGTGTCTGAGTAGTGCCTTCCTGCCCAAGACCTCAATCTCCTCATCTGTCATTAGAGAAGTGTGGCTGGGCTAGGTAGTGGTGGCCTAGGGGACCCATTCTGATGGATATTGTCTGTTTACCTTGCCAGGAGATAGACATATTTCCAGAAAAGGAGAAAGGTTAGCAGCCTTAGCATACACTGCAGGATGGGGTAGAAATCAGAGCCTTCCTGGACAGAACACTCCCTGGTTCTATTCTCTTCCCTCTTAGAGTCCGATGCACAGAAACAGGGAAGACATCCCATGGAAGGGTAGGGGTAAGAGGTTGGAATTAAGGACAACTTCCTGGAAGTGCCTTTTGAATCCAACTCTGAAAGCAAGGTGGGTGTCTAGATGGGAGTGGAAGAGGGAGTGCCCCTGTGGGAACAAAGACCCAGAAACTATCCCCATGACCCACCCAGTACCTCCTATGCAATCCTGGTCAACATCTTGTCCTTCCCTCTGGTCCCAGGAGTTTAGTGTGTTGCAGGAGATAAGACTCCTCCACTGGGCCTGTCAACATTGCATCACTGGTCCAGGAGCAATTTAGGTCCTGGTTCCAGGACAAGGAGTGTCTCAGTGAGACTGAAAGATGAGGCCTGGGCAGGGATTGGGCCATGACAAGGGCAGGCTGTCACTGGTGGCTGCTCCACAGAGCCTGTTGCCATGATTTTTTTGTAAGCCTTGGACCTCGTTGCCTGGGGACAGTTGGGACACGTGGGCTCCAGCTTCTGGGCAGGCTCTAGGTGGGCAACCATGAGGTATGGCTTCTGGTAGCCTCACAGCTGCTGCTCTGTCCTGTAGATACAACCTGTCCTATGAGCTAGAGCTCCAGGCCCAGTTGTCTAGCAACACCTAGTTGTCCAAAGAGAAGTCCTAGATAACCTGGCCATTTCAAGGATTGACATGAGTGAGTGCCCGGATATGGGTGGGCAGGGGCAGGCTGCCTC